CTCGATTCTTAACAATGATTAGTGCAATATATAAGATACAATATGCCAATATTATTGTAAATGGGGATATGACGCAAAACATTGAGATTCAAAAAGGAACAAGACAGGGTTGTCCTTTATCACCATTATTATTTATATTTGCACTGGAAACATTGAACGACATTGTAAGAGAAAATGACCAAATACAAGGTCTCAAAGTAAGAGGAGAAGAATTCAAATTATTAGCCTATGCAGAGGATCCTGTGTATATTGTACAACACTCGACATTATCTATTACTCAATTGTCAAAAACAATTCAGGAGTATAGAAATGTTGCAGGATTAAAAATTAATTTGAGGAAGACAAAAATAATAACCAAGAATTGTCCACCTAACATGATACAAGAGTTACATATATTAACAAAAGTGGAGATTGTGAAAAAAGTCAAATACCTAGGGATAATATTATCTAACAGAAACAGTACTCTTATAGAAGATAATTACCATAAGCTACTTGAAGGAATTAGGAAAGATCTATTGAAGAAGAAGAAGAAGAAGAAAAGAAGAAGAAGAAGAAGAAGAAGAGGAAGAGGAGATTGGATTTATACCCCGCCCTTCACTTGGAGTCTCAGAACAGCTTACAAACTCCTTTCCCTTCCTCTCCCCACAACAGACACCCTGTGAGGTGGGTGGGGCTGAGTGACACAAACTGCTCTTTCAGGAACAGCTGTGCCAGAGCTTGTGACTGACCCAAGGTCACATCAGCAGGTGCAAGCGGAGGAGTGGAGAATCAAAACTGGTTCTCCCAGATTAGAGTCCGCACACTTAAGCACTACACCAAACTGGAAAGACCTACAGCTATCACTAATGGGTAGAATAGCTGCCATAAAAATGAATGTATTATCAAGATTTTTATTTTTAGCCCAAAATATACCTATATTGAAAAGATCTCATTTTTTCTAGATCTTGATAAAATCACCAGACAATTTATTTGGCAACCCAAAAGAGCAAGAATTAAATGGAAAATACTTCAAGATAGAAAGGAAAGAGGGGGTTTCGGTTTACCCAATTGGAAGTTATATTATCAGGTGGCAGCTTTAAGTTGGATAAAGGAATGGCTAACTCTTGAAAATATAAGAAGTTTAAACTTAGAAGGGCATGACCTCAGCATGGGATGGCATGCATATGTGTAGTATGGGAAGGATAAAATACATTCCAATTTTGTTCAACATATGATAAGAGGTGCCCTAATAAGAATTTGGAATGAAATAAAAGAAAGATATTATAGAAAAACACCAAAATGGGTATCTCCATTAGAAGCATTTATAAAACCCTCCCTTATCAACAAATGTGGTATAGAAAGCTATGAAGTATTGTTAGAAAAGAACAATAAGTTAAAATCGGAGGAAACTTTGCTACGTCTATCAATGTTCCCTCTAAGCTGCGAAGTCTTGTGAGCAAAGTCTGCTTTGTGACCTACTGGCATTACAGTTGTGAGCGAGCGATTTGCCTGCTGCATAAATTAGCTTGCTCTGGAGCCATCCTTCCTGAGCTAAGACAAAAATGTGTGAGCCGGAGGCTAAAAAACTGTGAGCTAGCTCACACTAACTCATCTTAGAGGGAACAGTGACGTCTATAATATAAAACTGTCATGGTGGGAAAACGTGGAACTCCAATCTAGATTTTCCAAAGATGTGATAATAGGAATTCAAGAGACCAAAACCCAATTGTACAAAATTTGGCTATCAACAAGTGATAAAATGGTACAGAAACTTTACAAATGTTTGTTAGAAGAATACTTGCAAGATGAAACAGTTAATACAAAGATGATAACATGGATGAAGGATATAGGGCATAGTACTGATATAGATGAGTAGGCAAAAATATGGAAATCTGCTAAATATATGAGGGCTACTAACTATAAAGAAAATATCTATAAAGTATTCCATCGATGGTATTGATCCCCGGACAGAATAGCTAAGTGTCACCTAATGGCCTCTAAAATCTGTTGGATGTATAAAGCGAATGTGGGAACTTTTTTCCATATGTGGTGGTGATGTGGAAAAATTCAAAAGATAATATTAGAAATAATGAATTTTAAGTTGGTATTGACTCCAGAAATGGCTTTGTTAAATATAATTCCGGAGTTCTATAAACGAAATTATATGTATATGTTGATATATATTTTAACAACTGCTAGAATCTTGTTAGCCAAGTACTGGAAACAAGAAAAGACTCCCACAAGAGAGGAGATAGTATTTAAACTGTTAGAAATAGCAGAAATGGATAAATTAAGTTTAACACTTCAAGGAAAAGATGATAATGTATACGCTAAAAGATGGTCACGTCTGTACAAATGGATAAATAACGTATGAAAGATATAGACTCAAATGTATATAAGGTTAATTATATGTAATCAGTATATACTGTGAAAACTGATAAATAAAACTTTTTTTAAAAAAGAACAACACAGGACAGTCTCCATTTCCTTGTGGACAGAGAGAATTATATTTCACTCTTGCATAATACTAGAAGTTGAAGGCACGAGATTAACTTGATGGGCAATAGGTTCAAAACTGGGGAAAGGACATACTTCTGAGGTCAATGAGCAGTTAAATTGTGAAATTCACTGTCAGCAGACCAAATGATGAGCACAAGGAATCATGGCTTTAAAAGGGGGTCAGATAGATTCATGGAAGAGAGCTCCCCAAACAGCTACTATCCATGGTGATTAAAGGGAACCTCCTTATACAGAAGCAGCAAACTTCTGACTGCCAGTACTAGGAAGCAGCAGGAGGGGAAGACCTGGACCTCAATGCTCCGTTTGTTGTTCCTCCAGGGCAACTAGCTGGCTACTGTGGGAGACAGGTTGCTGGACTGGATGGACCACTGGCCTGATCCAGCAGGGCTGTTCTTATCTATTTACTAGCCTGCTACTTGTGCTTCGCTACAGTATTTAAATTCCGTAAATCCAGTTATAATACTGATGTGACGTTTGAAATGTAATGTTTGTTGTAGGAATTCTAATGGAGAAGATTGTAGTGTTAAAAATGAAGTGAGATATACGTATTTCCCCCTCCCCTCTACTGAAGGACCTCTCTGTAGGCCACACTGGTGGTTCTGCCCTTAGGTGGAGCTCTTAGAATATTGTTTAGTGAATCTTGATTTCCTTACTGAATTAAGTTCAGTCTTTTCACTAGTCTTTTAAACTAAGTTTTTCCCCCCATACACGATCATGTACTTTGAGATCCCTTTTGTTGTTGTTGTTCAGTCGCACAGTCGAGTCCGACTCTTCGCAACCCCATGAACCACATCACACAAGGCCCTTCTGTCCTCTGTCATCCTCCGGAGTTTGCTCAACTTCATGTTCGTTGCATCGATAACACTGTCTAACCATCTCATCCTTACCAGCCCCTTCTTCTTTTACCTTCAATCTTTCCCTGCATTGGGGTCTTCTCCAGTGAGTGCTCCCTTCTCATTTGGTGGCCAAAGTGTTTGAGCTTCAGTTTCATTATCTGGCCTTCCAGGGAGCAGTCAGGGTTGATTTCTTTTAGGATTGACTGACTTGATCTCCTTGCAGTCCAAGGGACTCTCAAGAGTCTTCTCTTGAGAGAAGATCCCTTTAAGAGAACTGTTATCTTATTAATGTATTTGCTGTATGGATCATGAGTCTTCATTACGTTTTCTGGTTCCGGGTTGTCACACTGTATGATGTTTGTATGAAACATAATGGGAAATAGTGTGTTGTGTCAAGGTGGTAGACGGAGGGGAGATCCTAGGTTTTTTAAAAATGTGAAATAAATATAAGATTTACAAGGTTGTGGGTTTTTTTGTGGGTTTTTTCTTTTTCTTTTTTGCTATGGACAGAGTTGAGATGAATGTTTTAGTCATGGAGAGGGGCATTTGAACTGGGAACAAAAACAACAACAACAGAAGTCCATCTCTTAACCAAGGTTTTCTTGGTGGCCTCCTGGCCACCCATGAGGAATGCAGATCGCAAATTGTGAAATGACTGGGGAGGCCTGATTGTAGGGCAGTCCAGGAATCTCCTGGCTGGAGGTTGGGAGCTGAAATGCTTGTACGTCATGAGAGGCCGAGATGGAATCTGTTTACTGCTCACTACGAAGATGGTTTAACCTTGAAGAGGGAGCAACTGATAAGAACTTGCCTGAGATAACTTGAACACACATACACACACACACACATTCCAAAAGGATGCTCTAATGCTTGTAACTCCCTTATGGAGGGAGAGGGGGGGAGAAGGGGGAAGAAAGGTGTATAAATAAACCTGCTGCGTGAGAGGAGGAGGTTCCTTCCTTCATTCATTCATTCAGACAGTTCCTGCAAGCTTGTATCCTGTCGTCTTTGAATTGCCTGCACCCCTGCACCCCACACCCTAACGAGCAGCACCACACCTGATGGCAGAAACTGGAGATATATTGAGCCTCTGTTGAGATACACTTTGTACGTGTCTGCCATCATCCCATGGTATAGCAATTTGGGGGGTGAAATTCCTCACAAGGCAGCAGTTAAAGCTATGCAAGCGTAATTATACATAATTAAAATGTAGGTGGTGCTTTGTCCACTCCATGTGAAACACAGATATTCTAACTGATTTTCTTTTTCTCTTTTTCCTCCCAAGGGGATATTGGACAAGGGAGAAAGAATGAGATGGAGACAGTTCAATGGGGTGAACCTGAGCAAAGTGATCTCACTGGGTCAAGTATAGGTAGAAAACGGATGACTTCCCAGGCAGCTGAGATACAAGAAGCAAGTCAGCAGGGATTGGAAAGCTGTGCCGAACTCAGTCCAATGAAAAGAGAAGCTGACCAAAGTTTAGGGGAAACAACTTCTTGTTTGAGAGAAATCTGGGACAGAGAAAATGGTGAAAATCTTGGGCAGAATTCCAACTTTTTCAAGAGTGTGCCAATCCCGAGAGAGAAGAAAACTTCCATATGCCCAAACTGTGGGAGAAATTTTACTTCCATCCTTTCAAGACACAAACAATTCCCCAAAGGCGAAATGACAGATAAATGCTCACATTGTGGGAATTTGTTTAGTTGCTGTTCCAGCCTTTCAAAGCATGAAGAAACCCACAAACGAGAAAAGTCACATAAATGCTCACATTGTGAGAAATGTTTTAGTACCAGCTCAGGCCTTTCAGTACATAAACGAATTCACACTGGAGAGAAGCCATACGAATGTTCACATTGTGAGAAATGTTTTATAACTCGTGCAGACCTCTCCAAACATGAACGAACCCACACTGGAGAGAAGCCATACAAATGCTCACATTGTGGGAAATGTTTTAGTACCCATTCAAACCTCTCAGCACATGAACGAATCCACACTGGAGTGAAGCCACACAAATGCCCACATTGTGAGAAATGTTTTAGTACCAGTTCAAGCCTCTCAACACATGTACGAACCCACACTGGAGAGAAGCCATACAAATGCTCACATTGTGGTAAATGTTTTAGCACCAGCTCAGGCCTTTCAGTACATAAACAAATTCACACTGGAGAGAAGCCATACAAATGCTCACATTGTGGTAAATGTTTTAGCACCAGCTCAGGCCTTTCAGTACATAAACAAATTCACACTGGAGAGAAGCCATACAAATGCTCACATTGTGGTAAATGTTTTAGCACCAGCTCAGGCCTTTCAGTACATAAACAAATTCACACTGGAGAGAAGCCATACAAATGCTCACATTGTGGTAAATGTTTTAGCACCAGCTCAGGCCTTTCAGTACATAAACAAATTCACACTGGAGAGAAGCCATACAAATGCTCACATTGTGGGAAATGTTTTAGTACCGGTTCAGACCTTTTAAGACATGGACAAATCCACACAGGAGAGAAGCCACACAAATGCTCACATTGTGGGAAATGTTTTCGTACCAGTTCCGACCTTTTAAGACATGAACAAAACCACAAGGGAGAGAAGCCACATAAATGTTCAGAGTGTGGGAGAAGCTTCAGACAGAGTTCACACCTTAAATATCATGTGGAAATCCATACCAAACAGAAACTATGAGTGAACTTGTGTATGGGAGTTTGCCATATGTATACTATTTGATTAGATGGCCCTATTCCCATCTTCTTGATTACCTGATGGCAGATGCCTTTGAACCAAGTGAAGAGTCTTCCCTGTGTCTCTCCCTCAGTCCCTTCTTTGTTTTGTAATCTATTGCCTGTACACTCAAGCTTGAACCTTGCCCTATTGAAAACAGAGTGGCCCTAGTAGGTGATAGGAAGCTGCGAAATACTGGATCGCACCTGACTCCTCATTGGAAAATCTACACAAGCAAGATCACTGGTGTCTTGGCCAGTGTACCCCTCTCAAAATGTTTGAGACAGAGGTATCTGGATATAGTTGCTGAATTGGTGTCTGTCATTTTAGCAGAGTCTGTTTTTAAACTGTCCTTTTTTAAAAAATGGCAGTGCGCTACCTGAACCATCTGGAATTTTTTTAAAAAAAAAAAATCTTAAGACTTTGGTATATGAAAGATGGGTTCTCTTTATCCTGTCTTGTCATGGCAATGGGATGTCACATTACATGCATTTTACTATGGAACATGACAGAGATGGGTTCCGGGTTGGACTGAAAGGGTATATGGGCTTATACTCATTGTTTTTAATGCTAAATAAAGTTACTTTTAAAAATACTGAGAGCTTTTCTGTTTTCTTCTTTTCTTTTGGAGCATGGTGCGATGAAATACTAAAGGATGAGTGTTGTTTTTCATTTCTTGGCTACCTGTTGTGGCTAGAAAGGGAGCCAAAGCATAGCACCTCATCTGTGGAATGGAAGAGTTCACCCAGTTTGGAGAGACCCTCGTGGCACTGTCCTTGGTTTTCACCATCCTGAATATGTTGATGCAATCCAGAAACCTGCCCACTGAAATGCTCAGACCAAAACCAAAATAATTTATGAACAAATTAAATAGTGCTTGTCCCAGTACTGAACTTTGAGGGACCCTACTGCTTACTTACTTCCCTTCAGAGAACTGTCCATTTATTCCTGCTCTCTGCTTCTGTTGATAAATCATTTTTAGTCAATAGAAAGACCTGTCCTATTATCCCATGACTTACCCAGGAGTCTTTGGCTGCAATCAGACATGCAGTTCGATCCATTGCCTTTGCTGTTCCCTTCCGGATTTAAAATGCATGACCAGACAGCAACATCTATCTGTCGTGCTCCAGTTGTTTGTGTCCCATTTCTACCCCCATTACTGTGTGTTTCTTTGATACCTGTGAAAGTCTGGTCCTTTTGGGCTAAGCTGGTTTCAAACCAGATTTCCTGTTGTCTGATTGCTCTGTTTCACACTGAAGCCGTCAGGTAGGTCTGACTGGTCCCTTGTTTTCCAGCTGCCATTTTTTTAAACTATTTAGTGATATGTGAATAACTGCATATTTGCACCTCTCTCTCTTCCCTCTCCCATGGGGGCTTCTCAAAACTGTGTTTTCTTTATAAAAATCTTTCAAAGAATGACCTCTGTATTTCAACATTTTTCTCTGCTTTGGGGAAGGGGTTAATTTAAAAGATCAGAGAGAGAGGATGGCAGTGAATGACATATCCCAGCAGGCTTATCAGTGCTTGTGCGCATGCACAAAGGACATATTTTTAAAAATGGCCGACAGCCCCATTCCCTGGCTGCTGCATCTGATCGCTCAAGGATGGGGTGAAAATGCTTCGAAGAGTGCTAAGGGGGTGAGTCTGATCACAATTCTCTGTTACAAAAAACCCTGGATCAATTAGAGGCAGGGCCACACTGTATCAAACTGCATGTCTGACCATAGCCTCAGATGAGGGATTTTGTCAAATGCTTTTTTAAGTCAAACTAGACAAGTTGATTTTACTTTTGAGAGTCAGGCCCGAGTTCTCTTGACCTGACTCGCATACCATCAGCTACATGTCAAGACTCTGAAAGGACAACTGATGATATGAGAGTCAGGTCAGGGGAACTAAGAACAGACTTTTAAGAAACTGTCTCCTCTAGTTGTCTCCTCCTTAGACGTTCAGGTTTATGAAGTCTACTGGAAGACCCTTATCTGTCAACTTGTTAACCCTTTTGAAGAGCCCCAAAAGCTCTCCATGTCAAAAACTTGAGCCGTGGTGGGACACATTTTGAATATGTTTGACATAAATCCATAATACAGCTATATATGGGTAGAAATTCCTCACCAGGCAGCAGTTAAGGCTATGCAATTGTAACTGCACACACTGTAGGTAGTGTCTGGTTCTCTCCATATGAAATATGGATGATTAAAATAATTATTCTTTCTCTTTTCTCCCCCAAGGAAATCTTGGACAAGCAGGTGAGGTTGAGAAGAAGATGGTTGAGTGGGGCTAATCTGAGACAAGTGGTCTCACAGGGTCATCTAGTGGTGGGAAATGGATGAGTAGCCAGGCAGCTGAGATATAAGAAGCAAGTCAGTAGGGGCTAGAAACGTGTGCCCAACCTGATCAAGTGAGAAGAGACGCTGACCAAGGTTTAAGTGAAACCACCTACTCTTTGAAGGAAATGTGGGACAGAGAATATAGTGAAAACTCCAGGCAGAATTCTGACTTTCTCAAGAATGTGCCAATCCAGAGAAAAAAGAAAGCTTCCATATGCCCAGACCATGGGAGAAATTTTAGTTCCTCCCTTCAGGAGACTGAAAATTCCAGTCAGGATTGAGAGGGTAGATAAATGCTCATATTGCAGGAAAAGTTTTAGTTCCAGTTCCAACCTTTTAAAGCATAACTGATCCCACACAAGAGGAAAGAACCAGGGCTCTTTTTGTAGAAAAAGCCCAGCAGGAACTCATTAGCATAATAGGCCACGCCCAACAACAGGAACTCATTAGCATATTGGGCCACACCCCTGACAACACAGCTCATTAGCACATTAGGCCGCACCCCCATGTTGCCAGAAGTGTGGTTATCCAGCCACACCCACCTTTTGCTTGTTATTCTGTTTACCTTGTTTGTTGTCAAAGCCCAGGGCCTTTTTTGTAGCAGGAACTCCTTTGCATGTTAGGCCACACACCCCTAATGTAGCCAATCCTAATGAGTTCCTGCTGTTGGGTGTGGCCTATTATGCTAATAAGTTCCTGCTGGGCGTGGCCAACTTGGGAGCCAGCCGGAACTCCGTTCCTGTGCGTTCCTGCCACAAAAATAGCCCTGAGAGAAGCCATATAAATACTCAGATTGTGGAAAAGACCGGTTCCTGCCAGATAGGACTGGCACCAGCAGTTGTCTGCTCCCCCTCCTCATTGAATGGAACACGAGGTGAGGGAGAGCCAATTAGGGCTCGCCATGTTGGCACTGGTCACCGAGAGGTGGGCATGCTGGCTGAGTTTCAGCAGCTGCTGCCTCCCCTCCTCATTTCAACATGGCACGAGCTTAGCCGTTGCGGGCGTGGACTATGCCCCTGCATCTCCTCTACAAACACATGTGCGGGATATGAGGAGAAAGGGCCTGGCTCTGAGCCAGGGTGGTATTGACATGTTAGGAGGCTTGCTCTGGAAGGTTATTGTGACCTGTGGCTTAATGAGTTAACAAAGTTAAGCAGATCAGCTTGTTATAAATAAAGTTCCCAGTTTTAACCCATAATTTTTTATGGGAGGAAAATAGGATTGCCAAGTCCATCTTCCACCCCCAGCGGGGGAATTTGGGGGCGTTCCTAGAGGGGGTGGGGCATCCGCCGCCCCCCCCACCCGCGCGTGGGATCTCCAGAAACGGCAGTTCTCTGCACTTAAAGGAGCCGGTGTTTCCCTTTTAAATGCAGGAGCCGGCATTTCCCCTTTAAGAGCAGCCGCATTTCCCTTTTACGAGCACGAAGCTGGCACTCCGGGCTTGGGTGGAAACACAGGCTTGGGAGGAAACACGGGTTCCACACACTTAAAGGGAGAGAGGGGTGTGGGTGTGGGTGGGGTTTTCCCCGCCGGCCAGATGACCAGCGGACGGATAGAACCCCCCCCCAAAAAAAAAACAGGGGACCCCTGGCAAACTGGGGATTTGGCAACCCTAGAGGAAAATGAATTTTGTGAAGAACTCATTAAATCATTATAAGCTCATGTAAAGGAGATGTGAAGTAGGCGTAACCAGAAAAATGTGACTTCATTCACCTAAGCCTATGGGAGATGAAAAGGGCTTTTGCGGTCGGGCTAGGGAAATGCTTTTTGCTTTAAAATGCTGTGTAACCATATGTTTGGGGAACTTATGGCTCTGAGAGAAGTTCCGCTTTCTGCAGTAAAGCTGTTTCACAGATCTCCTCTCTTGGTGTTTGTGCCTCTTTATCTACGCATATTGGGGTCATATTTTGTCCCTAACAATTTGAGTTGTGTTTTCATTCAAAGGGCCGGCGGGCAGTGTTTTTGTTCCAGTTCAGATGGTTCCAGACATGAATCAACACAGGAGAGAAGCCATTTAGAATCATAGAATCCTAGAGTTGGAAGGGACCTCCAGGGCCATCTAGTCCAACCCCCTGCACAATGGAAAAAAAGCCCTGATTGGGAACATTTTAAACTGGAAATACAAGGGACTGACCCTGGGAACTTTGGCACGCAAAACAAGTGTTCAGCCTCTTTGGAATATCCCCTTTATCAATTCCAACATGTCGTTGATGTCCTCTTCAGAACTGGAATGTTCATTTGTGGGGAGCTCATCTTGAAGTACTGAAATACCCATTCATGAATACGGGGTCTCCACAAGAGCAAGGCCAGGCCTCAAGGAAAAACACAGCACAGTGCACACCCAGTGGGGTTCAGCTTCACATGTGTCCCTGACAAGTGCTGCCTTCAAAAGTCTAGCCCAAAATCAGACTTGCTCCAATGAAATCCTTCAGAGGGCAAAAGAACACACAAACATCATAAGAGAAGCCACATTGGATCGGGCCAATGGCCCATCCAGTCCAACACCCTGTGTCACACAGTGGCCAAACCTCAGGTGCCGTTAGGAGGGCCAAGACTCCAGAAGCCCTCTCACTATTACCACCCCCCAGCACCAAGAATACAGAGCATCACTGCCCCAGACATAGTATTCCATCTATA